TGATGTTCACTCTAGCTATCAGGACTCAGTGGTTGAGTGGATAACGCGATGGCGTTTGAAGCGAGGGTACTGGGTTCGAGTCCCAGAGTGAACATCAACCCAGATGCAGGTACATCCAGCTGACGAGTCCCAAATAGGACGAAACGCGCGTCCTGGATTCCACTGCTAGCCACTATCCATCTCTGCTAACCATGCTCGTGAATTAAGGTATATCGAGGCAATACGCACAGTATGCACATATGCCAATTAGAGACTGACCAGTTGCAGTCCTAACAAATCGATGGGAAGATTCAAACAAACAATACTAAGTTGAAATTATCTGATTATTTGTCTTCTCCAGGGGTACCATTTCATATATCTTTATTATGTGTTTACTTAAGACATAAATGTACTTCTCTAATTGTCTCTACTGGATGTCACAAAAGTCCCGGGGGCCCGCTATCTCATGAGAATCTGTTTTTCACCTTTGTCAAAGTTATGGTTTCAAACTCCTAATCAGCAGTCAGATTCGTACGTCTCTTGTTTAGGCTACTTGTAAAATTTAGTCCATATTAGGTTTGTACCTAGTTTGGAGGTCTTAACTACGTAGTCGTTAGAATCGAACATACAATAACTTAGAAGATTCCCACTCGACGTTGTACGATAACAAGATGCACTAAAAGTCAACACTGAATCATTTTTGAGACTACATAACTTGGTCATTGAGACGTTGGTATCCAGTATATAATGGCTCACAGTGAACGATCAGTCTATGCATTTTGATAAGATCATCCAAAAAACCCTTTGTATAATTGCTAATCTTTAGTCCGTTCAAGAGTAACATCCCCATCTTTAAAAAAATTAACTAAACCCCAATCTCTATCACTAGTTTTATATATATTGTAGCAATAAGTAAATCCCTGAAATCAATAGATCTGTAAGTGTTCGACATTAGATGCTGACCACATTTGTTTTAATGGACTCATTAAGCTGAAGGCTCATGCATATGCACCAGATCACGAGTTGGGGCGGCGTGCTCAATGTCTCCTGCAATCGCTAACCAGTTTAGACCAGTCAATCCACGAAATATTGATAATCTATCAAATATATCTTCGAATCTCCTCGCTTCTGACTTTTAATTTCACTGAGTGGGTGCGATTCAATTATTGGTGTTACTGGTAAAGTGTTGTCAAACTACAATATCTATGGTATCTTCAATAGGTTGTGGTGAGTTTTTAGCCCAAAGAAGCCGGGAAGTGGATGTGTAGTTGCATTGGTTCCATGCCAAAGGGTTCTCGTAGTTGAACATATAGTTACTGAATAAATTGACATGCAACACTTGTTGGAGGTCGGTAATCCTGTGAACGCGAGAACAATTGATCGGTATAGCATAGCTCAACCTTGCAGACGTGATCATCCTTGTAATAAGTCTCTATACAAATTAAAATATAGTATGCTATCTCCAGTCCAAATGTTTTCTCCAGAGGCACTAAACATAATGCTGATAACATCATAGGACGAGCCAGTGTAGATAATGATAGGCCTTCCACGTAAGATCTCATTTATTAGGTGGTCAAATCCTGACAAATCCACAATCTAAGGATTAGGTCAAAAGTCAGAAGCAAGGAGATTCGAAGATATATTTGATAGATTATCAATATTTCGTGGATTGACTGGTCTAAACTGGTTAGCGATTGCAGGAGACATTGAGCACGCCGCCCCAACTCGTGATCTGGTGCATACGCATGAGCCTTCAGCTTAATAAGTCCATTAAAACAAATGTGGTCAGCATCTAATGTTAAACACTTACTGAGCTATTCTTTCGGTGCATTATATGGCTGCTACATGGTGATTTGAACATAAATCACTTTGTGGGTATTTATGTGAAAAGAAAACCTTTCTGTTACGACCATTTTCTCGAAAACATTTGTATTTTTTTCAGCCTTTCGTCATTGTTGTTCTTTTTTTTCATTTCATGTCACTCCACGATATTTTCATTTGTAGTTTTGTCTGTTACCATCGTGACGTATTGATCCTGTACTTAGTTTTTCAAACATTTTCCTGGGCAGTTCTCAACGATGGAATGCAGCCTGTGGTAAAACTGATCTGCGTTAGGTTTACTCGTGTTATCGGTAGGTGCCTAGCACTGGATGAAACGAACTGTAACCATTGCCTTTTTCAAGATGTGGCATCATAACCTTTCTCTGTGAAGACCCTTTAACTCACAAGGGAGGACCTTTATAGGTCGGATGATTTTCTCTGTCTAGCATTTTTCAACGAGTTTTTTTTTCAACGGGATAGAATTGCAAATTCACACCTGATCGTCCTTTTTTTCTCGAGCATTAGACAGCTATTTTCCGCAGGTTGGCTGATGGTGGAGCTATGCACTATAATGTCACCCAAGTGTGTCAAGCGAGTTTATGGAGCTAGACCAACAAATATTATCCATTTTATCGGATGGAAAGTTGTTGTTTAGATCGATAGACATCATATCAGTTAGTACACACTAGATAACTAGGTGAAATCTGATCTGTGACAATCATATGAGCATGCCGAATCTTCAGTTGGCGTGAAGTTCATAGACATCCTAAACGAAAAACTGATTTCATGTATGTCCGAATGGGATCAATATTTTATCATACCCAATCCACTTGTGAGGCATTATAAATAACCATAATAGTTGCAATGATTTGTTATCCAAAGCTAAAAAGAAAAATGGTGAGAGAGATAACGGTGGATACTGTCACCAGCAATCTGGGCGGTCACAGAGCTTGTAATAATGATTTAACATTTTTTGTTTTGTATTTCAGGCACTATCACAAGATGAGGCATTGTCCAACCATGGTGCATTCATGAGCGTCAAATGTGAGAATTTTTACATAACAAAAAGGATCAGCTGTACTACTCTATTGATTTCTTTTATAGTGGCTATAGAGGTCTTCGCAATTCAACCAACAGAAGAGTTTAATTGCTCTTTTTATCCTCTATATGTTCGAACCTGTTATGTCAGCTGTGACATGAAGAGATACTAGATGAATTCTCTACTAGAGGCTTATTTGCTGTACTTCGCAGTATTCCTGACCATTTGGAATATTGAAGAAATGTCTCACCTTAGTTGTATCTGAATGTGGTCAAGATTCCTGACTGGTGTCCTTTCACTAAGCAACATGCAGTGTCAGCATCAATTTACAATGTCTGAAGATCTATTTATTCCATGAATTTTTCGCTTATTGCGAGTATTTTGCGGACCAAATACAAAACAATATCTATTGAGAACATAAAAATTACAGTGGGGAGCTTTCTGACAGATTTCCTTTGTTATTAACTCAACCATGATAAATGATACAAAAGATTGAAAACTTGCATCATCCATTCAGAAACCATTATTTTACTAATAATTGAGTGGCTTGATGCTGACCATGGAACTATACCTCAATTACTTTTAACAAAAGCATCTATTCCTTGAGAGCATCGTATATCATATCAGTTTCTTGTTTCGGAAGTCCATATACGGTATTTATATTGCCACAGTGGTTGATAGAGGTCTGACTTTACAACAAGATGAGAAACTGCTGTGTATGGACTGACTTAGTTCGTTAGAAGAATTTATCGACTTGAAAGTCTAAATGCCCTCAAAAGGTGTTAAGATTAGGATGACCTATCTGACTATCTGGTTAAAATATTTATTCATCCCAGACCTTTGACAAACGTATATAGGATCTGTTCATCATTCAACTAATAAAAATGAAAAATATGACCCCTACATAAAGTGAGGAAGAACGGAAACATGAGCTCACATTCTGATACTCATATAAGACAAAAAGTTATTTCAGTTAACTATCTCACCTAGTCACTATGCGCTGGCTGCTAAAAAGCATGTGTTCATCTGTTTGGTGATAGATTTTCGGGGCTCATTAACGTGGTGCACACTTTTCCATGTTGGCGATTTCATGTTTTGATATTCGGCATTTCTTCATCTCGTTTTTCAGGTTTCCATAATTTACTGATCGTACTGGTGCAGATCATCAACGATGATGATCTCTATATTAGTTAAAGTACATACAAGCGAAAGTAAAACCTCTGCCGCATGGGCTAGTTCATGGGGTACGATTAACTGATTAGCGTTTGTTGTCCTTGATTTTGACAACGATCGATTATCTCTTCGATATTCAGAGACCCAACTGCCGGATAATTGCGCTAGTACTCAGTGACATTTCACTGCCCCTACACTGGGTTACTGAGGCAATGGATTTTATAGAATCAGTTAGATAGTGAGTAAAGATAAGTAATAAATTGCCTTTGAGCCACTCAAGTGTACATTGATAGAGAACTATTTGGCAAACAGCTTCTAAGCGAATGATTTAAGGTTTAATGAGCAGTCGTTCGCATAGTGATAGAGATTGTTGCTCAAAAACTATTTCGGATGATTTTTGTGCTTCTTCGCGGCATGATTGAAGTTGAAAATGCGGATCAACGAACATTCAATGAGTGGTGTAAAGGTGACATGGTTTCTGCGAGTAGGCCCTGAGTTTGATTCTGCAGTCCAAAGTAGTTATGATCCACCGAATATTACGGAAATAGAAACCAACTCTTCTTCAGTTGAAACCAGTTGGCTAGTTGCGCAACGTTATTGACCCAATGCCTATGAAACTAAAGGCTGATTTCCTTGAGTGTCTTTGACAGCGTATACGTCTTCAGTACGAACTTCATTTATGGGTTCACAGTGGCTAGGTGATGGGATCAAAGCACTTTCTTTTAATGGTTGTTTTGTTAGCCTACCTGAACTGCTATTCCTACCAAGAGCTCGAGTCAAGAAAGTATATCACGCCTGTCTGGATTATAGAAGAAAGCTTTCTAATTTTGTAGGCTTTAAATTAATTTACCTCAACTGCGATTTGTTGTACCTTAAATTGAGTTCCATGACATGGAACCATTGGGTAGACTGAATACAAACATGTACTTCAAACGTTTTTTTGATGCTTTTACTCATCTGTTTATTGTCTAGATTGTTGATAGTCTACTGGACTTTTAAATCATTGATAACATCACAGCAATATTTAAAACCTACCCATAAAATAATTTTTGGTTCATTTCAATCTTCAATAATGACCTCATTATTTCAAGGACGGGAGACATTGAGGATTAAGATTTTGGCGGCTTCATCATGACGGAGGTTTTGCCGATTTCTCTGGTGAATTTCAATGCAGATAGTGGCTATTTAGAAGGTCTAGCACGTGGAATTAAGGGTGGACTCTTAAAGCAAGCTGATTATCACGTGCTAGTACAGTGTGAAACTTTGGATGGTAGGAGTTCGCCAATTCTGTTTTAGTTTAATTCTGATAATCAGACTTAAAGCTTCACCTGCATGACACTGACTATGGGGAATTTCTCGCCAATGAACCGGGACCTTTGACTGTGGGGATCATTGAAGAGAGAATTCGCGAAAAGTTTGTGTCTGAGTTCCGCCACATACGCAACCAAGCTGTATACCCATTATCTTTATTCTTGGATTACATCACATACAGCTACATGATTGATAATATTGTGCTTCTGATAACAGGGACTCTTCATGGCAGACCGATATCCGAACTTATGACTAAATGCCACCCTCTTGGGACATTTTTGGAAATGGAAACCCTGAATATTGCAACTAACCCTGCTGAATTATACAATGCTGTACTCGTGGATACGCCTTTAGGTATCGTTCTGATTGTGGTTTCATTTCTGTAGCTCCATTTTTTATTGATTGCATTTCAGAGCAAGACTTAGATGAACTTAATATAGAGATAATACGTAACACTTTGTACAGGGTATGTTAGTCTTTTCGTATAACCTAATTCTATAGGCCTATATTGAAGATTTTTATGCCTTCTGTAAATCACTGGGTGGAATCACTGCCGAGGTGATGTGTGAGTTGTTGGCTTTTGAAGCTGATAGGAGGGCGTTTATCATAACAATCAATTCATTCGGGACAGAACTTTCGAACGAAGATCGGTCCAAACTGTATCCTCGCTGTGGAAAACTTAACCCAGAGGGGCTTGTTCAACTTGCTAAGGCTAACGATTACGAGCAAGTAAAATCTGTTGCCAGGTACTATTCGGTAAGTTTTTTTAAAACTCATTACCTTTTTACACTGCACAAATAAACTACGTTTATCTGTACATATTAATTAAAACTTGTATCGATTTTTCAGGCGACCGCAGGTGGTACGAATAATATTCTTGATCTCTGTAATGTACTTTTGCTGTTTGGTTTCGGAATTGTAATGGTTGATACCTGGTCGCTCGTTGTTTGTCTAAATACTATCTCACACAATTCTGGTTCACAGAATATTTGTCATGATATGAGAATTAATGCATGAAATATTACAAGCAGCTGGGATGACAGTAGGGTTTGTTACAATCAATTATAACAGTGGGGTATTTTGTTTTGAGGTTTGTGCATATCTTCAACACAGTAAACATTATCTCCATGCTCTTAATGTCTGTGAAAAAACACCGTTGGACGTCCCAAAATAGAATATCGATTGGAGTCTAGCTGATATGAGGTTCCCTCTGATTAAGCACTATGACAACAAAAATCCCCTATAATAGCTACCAATTTTACAAATTCTCGGGAAACTAGTCCCAAAATCAACAAATTGATTAGGTGAATCGGAGTTGATAAATAATCTTACATTTAGAAAATTAAAATTCATTAAAAGCTAACATTCCTGTGTGCTAGTCGAATCTGTTGCTTAAAAATGCGTTAATACAACTTAGTGGGCTAAATATCGGCAAATCAAAAACTAAAGTAATTCCGACTACTGTTTAAAAGTTGAAGCCGAACAATAATGAACTAGATCTTAATATCCTTATGAGTTTTCTAACGTTGGAAATATTTATAGGAGATGTAGAGTGCTGAAATTTTCAGTCTGTCGGCTACAACGTAGGACCAGGTACATATATGCATCGGTCCAAGTTCCCACCTCACCAGCACAACAAGATGGTCACCAAATTCATAGTAGTAGTTACTTCAATAATAGTAATATATAAAAGAAAAATCGTCAAGACAAACGAACTCAGTTATCACTTCAAAGTAGAAACCATTGTCAGAAAAAAGGATCGGTTTAAATTATCACAGCAATGAGCAGGTGATGAGCTTTGTAAGTTATAACAGGGTTCGGTTACAAATCTCATTCGTAACTATTGGTTGGTTGACTGAATTGCTGAACCATATTCTTCAAGGTACATGGTTCTTAGCCACTTATGTGTACTGAGTTTCAGTACCTGTATAGAATTCAAGTGTATTATACAACTTTCAAATTGTCAGCATAAGACATTTGAACATGCTAACTGCGAACGCTCTAAATGGGGAGAGATTGCTTTCAAGGTAAGGAAATAGTTTACACTTAGTATTTTGCAGCTGATATACTAAAAGATTACGTTGGTGATGATGCTCTGGTTGTAAAAGGACATATAAGTTTTACTAGTGTCCCTAGAATCTAAAAATATCAATATGAAATACAGTATTCAGCAGTTCTTGGAATCATAACGTCATGCTCGATCTAAACTGTATAGCGGTAGTTTACGTTAATTTAGTCAGAATTACTTCCCAAGAAATCCAATTATGTTAACACTACTTGTTCTCATATAATACAGAAAAGGTCACATCTCTAATTTTAACAAATGACGACCAAAAATTTTTATTATAGAGCATGCACCAACTAGTTATTATACTTAATTTTATCCTTCAAGGGTATTTATATTTTATGATATTAATTGTTTAGTTTCGTTTTATAGTTAACCTTTAAGATATCTTATTTGTACGCTACATACCTACCATCTGTCTCACGTTTTTACTGTCACAAACTAAACATCACTTCTATGCAGTTTAACCATAAAGTAGGACTTATCACGAATATGTATCAATTCAAGTTGCTTCACCCTAGATAGGCACTTCAAGGAGGAAAGCTAATGAGATAATATGCGGAGGAAAAACTGTTGTATCCCGAAGAGAATTGTGAATGGTAACTTTTAAGGACTATTTATGGACCAATGTAATATGTATATTTCCTATTGTATAATTGTTAAGTAACTAAACTATTCATATTCGTGTTCCTCTTATCATAAGCTTTATTTTGACCTATGTACTATTATTATACAATTTACCATTCTTGAGTTATCCCCAGCCTATTGATTACTGTCTCCCCTATTCACAGCCACATTTGGCCAAACCTTGTACAAATGTTATTTTTTATTTTATGGTACGATGTAGTCTGTTTGGTTGGTATATAAACCCAGTATGTTTGAGAATAAGGATTCATATTGCAGAGGCTGTTATTGGTGTTTTGGACTTAACTGGCTGGGCTAGGCAGATCGCAGGACCGGTTAGCACTCTAAACTGCTCGTACGGTTTTCGTGTGTCACTGTTCCGATCGATAATTCGCTGCTCCCGGATTGGCGGTCTTATCAAGTCATACGTTAGCAAGACATCCACGCGGCCTCAAGATATAACAAAAACAGTACTACATACTACAGTGGTAAGCCTAAAAAATAATGAAAAGTATGGCATGGCACAAAGCTCACAATTTTGAGGTAGCTAATAAGTACATCACTACGGTCGATTTAGGGTTAACATATGATATGAAAATCTATGGGAAGACACATGTTAAGCGTGAACAAACCACTAAATCGAATGTTTCGAGATGGTAACATTTATCAAACTACCAAGTCAACTATTTATAAACACACTGTCAGGCTCTGGGATTACTCACATGATATGACCGAATATGGGCAACTCTACAGGATCTACGATGGTCGAACGTAAAGATCGTCACCATCTCTCAAAAGAGTAAAACAAACCTATGGTACACTTTGCTTTTTCGACCAGATTGAATTCACGATGGCCTAAAAGGTGCTTGGTAATAGCCTATTTGGCTTTCATCATGCCCAGATTGATCTCATTGGCTGCCATGCCATAACCAGCATTCAAACAATTACACGGTTATACAAATTTCTCGAATGCGGAGGAGACATGATACTAATTCCTGTATAACAAACCAAATGGTTTGAAATGTCACACAGTGGGTTAGTTTGTGTCTTCCAATACATCCCAATGATGTAAAATTATTTTACTAACGTCACTTGTTGTCTCAGTACTTTCTTTTATTTCGTAACATTTTTTCCACTGAACTTTTATGAGCGACGTTTCTACTCGTGCTTGTTTTTCAGAATTATTCCTCTTTGTTTGAAGAAACTGGTGAGGGCTTTGGGGATAAGACATTAGAAGATAAATTCTTTGAATATGAAGTAAGATATTTTTATTTATATCGATTTTCCTTGTTTCATTCTGGTAGGTTATTTAGCTTATGCATATTTTAGTCTGTATATCACGGAAGGATAAACTGAGTTGTCTTTTGATTTTCTACTCCAGAATATTCACATATCTAAACAGGTTCATTTTTGGAACTGAGGTTACATGTAATGACCTCCATAATTGTGTGTTTCTCGTATTAACTGGCTGCATGAACGATAATTCAGAAAACATATATCGAAATAATATAAAATTAGTTACCATTTTGTATCTTAGAGGTTATTCTTAATTCGTTATTATCTCAATTGTTCTGAATAATTCAGCGGCACAACTAGAAATAGATGGGTATGTTTTGCTAACTTAAAGTAGGCTATTCCTTTAAGCTATCCAAGCACCGAAAAACAATCATCAATTAATCTCTAAAACGACTAGAAGAAATTTACTCGCGGAGATATTCTAGTAGACCTACGTAACATCCTTCTTATGTTTGTATTTTATAGCCTAAAGGGGTCTATACTTTAGAATTAAGATCTATTCAGTACATTTTTGATGCCACCAAAAGAATTAGTATTGTGTATTAAGTATCAATTCAAAAAGGTAAATAAAAGAAATCGAAGCAGTATGTTTTCTGTGAGGCAAATCACAGAATGAGCATCTAGTGTGCTATTGGTTTCATTTTTCACAACCAAAATTGTCTCGTGAGCAAAACATTAATGACAACTCCCATATTCCAAAGCTGTAAGACATAGTCATACATAGACATTGGATATGGCATAATAACTTTAGCTAACGTATTATGTAATCAATTCCTTCCGGTATTTACTGACTGCTAGTGTCAACAGAAAACTGCACCTAGTAGAATTCAATATATAACTAAGATTGCCACTAAATCTGGACAAATTAGTGTCAATGAATGTTTGCTGATAATAAATTCCTATCACACCAGACAGGTCGGTTGAAGAGCAGTAAGACTAAAAGCAGCAAACCCAAGGTCCGAAGGCGAAGTCGTACTGCTGACTGTATGGTGTCCCTTAGGCACTGCGGTCACACTCTCATGTCACTAAGACCACCTCTAACAATTTCTTTTTCTGGTACCTCCGGAAGAACCATTCCACGGTGTGGGCGACCGGAAAGTGATAATCGCCATCATACCTCAAGATCACTTTATTCATAATCAATCTCCCTCTTCTATTCCTATTATTCCTCCTACATCGACTTTCAACACTAAACTTCCTCTTTAAGTGTCGCCATAGCCAAAAATTCTAGTGCGCAAAACACTATCTCAGGTCTACTGAAACCTCGTTCCAAACTACCCATTGGAGCCTTCAACGTACTCATCCTATGTCAAATCGGCCAGTAGGTCTCCAGCTAAAACCGTAAAATCTCGTACCATTGATATGTGCTGTCTCCGAAATACACATACAGGATCCCAGTATGGTCATTCAGTTGACCTCACCTGGCTTAAACAGGGAACCGACGAGATGCACCCCCCCGTTTATCTGGCGACCTGATGACAAGTCCTCGTGGACTGGCAGGTGTATACATATCACTAAGTACGAGGGCAGAACAAGCCTTATTAGAATGGGTCCCCTTTAATAGTCACCTATGTGGTGTTCGGCTAAACGGCTCCGTAAGAACTCAGGAGAATAGAGACACGTCGTTGCCTTTTCGTTGTTTCTGCGTACGCTCCCATTGACTGCAGTCCCGATGAAGTGAAAGATGACTTTTACAGAAAGCTTTCTGAAGTTCTTCATGAATCTAAACGCTCAGATATAGTGCTCGTAGTAGGTGACTTTAATCCCCAAGTAGGTAGCTTAAACCAAACATAAAGACATTTAGGTGAGTATTTTAGTATTCCGGCTCAGCGAACAGATAATAGTGATCGTCTGCTGCAACTATGCTCAGACAGTCGTTTACTTTTAGCAAACACTAATTTTAAGCATAAGGAGAGACATCGTCTAATACGGCGATCCCCTGCATCAAACCAAAGATGGACTCAAATAGACCATATTGTCATCAGTCATCTTTGGAGAGGCTCGACCGATGCATATATGTACCTGGTCCTACGTTGTAGCTGACTCACTGTCTCTTGCACTAATGTTGTTCATATTTTTAATCAGTGTATCATATAGTTATTCAGAAAGAAAAGTTACTCATCAACCAAAATTTACTAAATAATCTGCGGATGAATCAGTTCTTTGCGAAGTTTTACATTTGATTTGTACCAATCCGAGGGAGTAAAATATAATGAGTGGTGTCACGCTTTGACACTTGCCTACGCACTTATTGAGCACCGTAAAACATTACCAGTATGGTTTTAGCACTATATTTAGATCTTGAGATTCTCGCAGAAGAATCTCATAATTTAAAGGATATTATTAATTGTACTGAAAACTCCTTTAATTTCTACAAATAACTGCTAACTGGATTATCAGAATATGTTAAATGTCACCAACGTGGTCTAGAATTTTCGTTCTAATAGATGGGAACGAAATTGAATGTGACGTTTGTGTATTAGTCCTTTAATGACACCTCACATTATGGTAAAAGACAACTAAATTGATAAACTCCTTTGTATTATCTTACGCAGCTTATTTTCAAACCACCAAAATTAAAGTCCAATTTTTTCTAATCAGTCACAAATTTTCCTAATTAACTGTTCCATTTTAGGTTCAATTGAATGTAGACGCCTTCTTACAGCAGTTTCATTATGGTATATTCTACGCCCTTCTTAAATTAAAGGAACAAGAAATGAGAAACATCGTTTGGATTGCGGAGTGCGTTTCCCAACGTCATCGTACCAAAATTGACTCTTATATCAATATTCTATGATCTGAATATGACGTTTTGTTGAAAAATTATTCCACGCTTAAAATGCGTTCTAAGCATAATGTTTTTGACTGTTATAGCTTACTTTGGATTTATTTATTTAAACTCGTGAAAAATTTATATAATTTATTTTTTCTGTATGATTAATTTCAAGTGATTATTAAAACGGTTTTAGTCGTCCGAATCACTAATATCAATTTTGAAATTTCCTTTCGTAAATATCATTTTACTTAGATGCTTCCATTCTTTCTCCTAACACCTGATTTTTTGTTAATGTTGTGTTGGAATACCAATAAACTATGTGACAGTTCTCTGAATTTTGTTTAAGTAGGTTTGTGCTTTAGGTGTCACACTAGTTGTTAGTGACGAGAATTAATTATATCAACTTTTAGTACAGTAAACACCTAGTTTCTAAAGGAAGATCTGTTCACATGCATTTCCGATTACTACTGAGTTTCAGCTTTTACATGAAGAAAGTTGCTGTGTCTGTTCGTCAACATCTGAGATGTAACTCGACGGAGGCAGGTTAATATTATCATGACCAATGTCTGTTTTTTAATGGGTAATCAAAATATTTCATCGCTGCTTAGTAATAAAGCTTTGTTTTATTATTAACCACAGAACTCCCAACACTTTCTAGGGAGATACTTCTCTAGAAACCATGGAATCCCTGATATATTTTATAAATTAGTCTTGAGATAATGTACTGTTGATTCAGCATCAGTGATATTTAGTTGCCGGATTCGTTACACCATAAAAAGTCTTGATGAATCACATATACATGTCAGGCGCTCATCATTCTATTAGGATTATACTAATTTCTCATTACTTCCCAATCAGAAGTCCTTATCGTAGGATATGCGAAACGCAATGCAGAGGTTCGTATTTTGTTTTAATTCTGAATAATTTTATCAATTTGTCTTTTCATACCTCGGCGAAATTTAAGGTGTAACACAACTAATCATGTTCTGAATTCAAAGTGTTCCGTGGCACCAGTGATGTAAAAAGCAGCAAGTTTTATTCCGATGGGATTCGAAAAAGTAGGGACCACGTCGACAAAATTCATGTGTTATGTGTTTGATATGAACGGTAAATACCTAGACATTTCAAGTCCAATTGTTATCTCTGTGTACTTCCATACAAAGATGGCAGCTTTCACGTTTGACCTTGACCGAACACTTGAAACTTGCAACATGTTTTATTTGTTTATGGTAAAAAAGACCTAGCAATACCTTTTTGATAAATTAACCAGGTTTCAATTGAATAAATATTGTGTTGATCCGAATTGTTCGTTAAGAAATCGAGAATAAGTATTTCATCCATAGCATGTGTCAAATAATCCTTCTATTTGGTTTTATGATTTGTAAATAATTTGGTAAAGCCATTATGCTACTTAAGATTAGTAAGTAATTTACCGACCGTTGCTGCTACCTTGACGTGGTGGTCGGGCTTGCCTATCGTGATGATCCAATCGAGCTATGCTGACTAGAACAATCATTCCTCTAGGTCCTACCACACCAGATAAGTCGGGTGAAGAGCGGTAAGACTAAAGGCAGCAATCCCAAGGTCCGAAGGCGAAGTTGTGCTGCTGACTGTACAGAGTTGTGGCTGCAGTAAGATGTTTCCTTCAGACAACCGGCATAACAGCGATGCTGCCCTCAAGAAGGGGTGAGGTCCGAAAAGGTCGACCCTAAAAATTCACACCTCGCCTTGTCCCACGGATTTCCGTCTACGGCGGTAAGGTCCTATGAAGAACGGAGCTAATACGTCAAAAATTCTCCACAAACAGGCCGTGCGTGACTGGCCTCAAGCAGTTGTCCCTTGGGCACTGCGGTCTAGCCCTCAGGTCATTAAGACCACTTCTACCCCGATTTCCTTTTCAGGTACCTCTAGAAGCACCTTTCCACGGTGTGGGCAACTGAGAAGTGATATTAGCCCTCATACCTCTAACAGCACTCAAGACCACCGTATTCATAATCAATCTCCTTTTTCACTTCCCACTTTTACTTCTACCTCAACTTTCAACACTAAACTTCCTCTTTCGACTTCATCATCAAGTGTCACTATGGCCAACGATTCTGTTGCGCGAAACACTCCCAGGTCTACTAAAACCGCGCTCCAAATCACACATTGGAGGCTTCAACGTACGTACCCTATGTCAAATCGGTCAACAGGCCTCCTTGGCTAAGACACGAGCACGTATTTGTCTGCGCCTCAATGGACGCAGGAAAACTACACTAAGAAGACCCATTGGGATTGAACTGAAGCACGAGAAAGTCAAATGTAAATTCCAGGAACAACTGAGTTCACATCTGGGCAGTTCTGTAAGCGAGACTGACACAGATGCTGCTTGGAAAGACATACGAACAGCTGTGGAAAAAGCAGTCACATCTATTAGTAATTTAAATCATAGAGTTCCAAACAACCAATGGATTTCATTCAAGTCTGTTTCACTTATGGATTCGCGTAAACTCATACCATCAGGCTCTGATCACGACGAAGAGTGTAAACAAATCAGATCTAGGTTAACTAAAAGTCTAAGGAACGATCGTGAGCAGTGGTGGGCAACGAAAGCAAAAGAGATCGAAAAGGCAGCGACTGTAGGCAACACCAGGCAACTCTTCAGACTAATAAAAGAAACCGGAATTCAGATGTCAAGTGTAAGTGAAACGATCTCGGAAAAAGACGAAACCCTTATCTGCTCTCAACCCAAACGTTTAGAACGATGGGTGGAACACCTTAAGGAGCAGTTCAGCTACTGCACAACTACCCACTATTCCCAGACAGTCTGAATGGAACATTGAAGTAGGCCCCCCGACCCTACCTGAAGTTCAAAAGGCTATAAGTAATCTGAAACGAGGAAGAGCAGCTGGTCCTGATGGATTGGTCTCGTGTGCAGTTAAGGGTGTAAGGGCTAATATCACTTCCCGGCTGCCAACACCGTGGAAGGGTATTTTTTGAGGGACCTGAAAAAGAAGTTAGATTAGTGTTGGTCATAACGACCTAGGAGCGTGACCTCAGTGCTTAAGGTACAACTGCTTGAGGCCGGTAACGCACGGCCTGTTCGTGAGAGAATTCTTGACGTGTTGGCTCCGTTCTTTAAAATGCCTTACCGCCGGAGACGGAAATCCGTGGGATGAGTCTATAAAAGTTGATAGCGGTTCATTCGTTCAGATATAATGTGTTTTCATAAGAATAGTTTACAATGTCGCATGACGTCAACGCTACATACCAGATCCAATCTCGACAAAAAGTGTATTAGGGTTTCGGTCGTGCTAAGTATTTATGTAATGCAGCTTTTTAAGTTTATAGTTGTTATAAAGTAGGCTTGTGGAGCGCCTGGTTCGAACTATGACCCTGGGAAAGCGCGTTCGTCGAACTTGTTCCAGATGTCAGTAGCTACATAGCTTCACTCTCAGAGCAAGATTGTGAAGAGAAAAAAAGAAACCGAGGAGCAGCAAGGCATTTGGATATGAACGATCACTAATGCTTAACATTTATTAGTGGAACAGATGGAGGTATGATAAATTATTAGATGTTGCAAGAGTGAAGTGTGATTAGGGGCTACAGAAGAGAGAATGCAGTAATAAAGAACAATGAGTTGTGATATTTATCAAGGTGGAGTAGGTTCCAATGAAGGAGGGAAGTCAAGGTTGGAATGAGAAAGAACAGAGAGTGCATATAGAGAGTAGAGTGTTGAGTAAAATAACAACCATATCCTATACAGTCTGTGTTTTTTTTATCATCCGATGCCTGCCACACAGTTTTCATGTAAAAGTCCGAGTTAGCATGTTAAAGGTTGTCTTAGTAGAATAGTTAATCCAGCACAAAAATTAGAAACATGAGCCTGAATGGTGAGTGTAGGAGAACAATCTCAATATCACAGATTGATTGACTTGTTCTCATCCATAAAGAGCCTGATACAAACAAAATGTTCTGCCCCAAAAACACGGGTGGATTGAAGTCATCGCCCTCATCATCAGTGCTTGCTGGTCAGTAACTCAGCCCTCCCTCCTTTTGTGATGTTAGGCTCGTTTAAGCTTATTTTTTGGATTCAAATCATACCTCACACAATGCTCTGTGTTTCACATCCTGTTGAAAAACACTATTTCTATAAGTACCATGTTACAAGCTTATCAGACAGTTACAAATTATGAACTGTGGGTAAGGCTTCGATGCAATGTTTTTATTGACTATATAGTAAAGTGTAGGTTATGAATCAGAGTATAGGCATTAGGGAGGGTATAGTGTAGGATATTTGTTTACCATAGTAGGTGGAAAAGTGGGGATTTATATTAGTTACAGATAAGGTAAGATAACGAGTGGTGTAATAATATTGATGGCAAAGCAACAGTGTACAGATGAGTAAAAAGCTGATAAAGAATAGACAAGAAGTAACTCACACTAAATTCGCGCTGAGGTTGTTTTGTTCTATGCTAACCAGTTGATGGGTGACAGGTTCTGTGGTTGTACGACCACTGGCAGTAGGTAGTCGAATGTGCGTTTCTTCTGACGTTTTAGGGTATTTATAAGCAACGTTTAGCGACCGAGTATTGATAGGTCCAGTGAGTTGCCTGTCTACTTCAATTGAAAAGAATTAGGGAGTAGAAAGTATCTAATACGACTACAAGGTAGGTGACTTTAATGCTCAAGTAGGTAAACTAAGTGAAAGGGAAAGACACCTGGGTGGATCTTATGGTGTCGTTGCTAAAAGAACAGATAATGGCGACCGTCTGTTTCAGCTGTGCTCAGATAACCGCCTATTTCTTGCAAATACTAACTTCAAGCATAAGAAAAAACACCTTTTGACATGGCGGCCCCCGAATTCGTCCCAACGCTGGACCCAATTAGATCACATCGCTATCAGCCACCGATGGAGGGGCTCGATAGAAGACTGTCGATCATTCTGGAGCACATATTTAGACTCAGATCATGCTCTAGTACGAGCTCGTATCTGTCTGCGTCTTACTGGACGTAGGAAAGACACTGCAGGGAAGCCTCTAAGGGTTCTACTTAATGATAGGCAAGCTGAGATTATATTTCAGGAACAACTAGAAAAACAGTTAGGCAGCTATGTAAGTTGTGCCCACTCCGAGGCAGCGTGGAATGACATCCGAAAAGCTGTGGAAACAGCAGTGATATCTGCTAGTGCAGTAAACCATAAGGTTAGGGAGAAACAATGGATCTCAGCAGCATCTACCGCACTGATAGATGCTCGCATACTCATCCAATCTGGCTCTGAACATAACGAAAAGCAGAGTCAGCTTAAGCACAGGGTAATAAGAAGCTTATGCAAAAATCGCGAACAGTAATGGGTAGCGAAAGCAAGAGAGATGGAAAAGGCAGCAGCAATAGGCGAAAGCAGACAACTGTTCAGACTTGTTAAGGAAACCGGTATTAGGAACCCAATTGTCAGCGAATCTATCTCGGAAAAAGATGGACATATCATTCATTCTCAATCCAGGAGATTGGATCGATGGGCAGAACGCTTTAGGGACCAGTTCAACTGGCCTTCAGTTACCCACGATCCCCATCGTCCTGAATGGAAAATTGTTGTAAGTTTTACTAATATAGTGTCTAAAATATTAGCTTCAATATTACTTAGGCGCCTAACTTAAGCTTGTGGAGAGCAGACTAGAGAAAACCAGGCTGGTTTTCGACCTAGACGTGGTTGCATAGACCAGATATTCACTCTTCGTCAGGTCCTAGAACATCGACATACATTCAGACGTCCCACAATAGTAGTATTTCTTGACCTTAAGGCGGTATTCGTCTCCGTTGATCGTGAGGTTCTATGGCAGTGCTTGTCACTAGAAGGGGTACCAATGAAGTACATTAACCTCATAAAGGCTTTTTACTCGAACACAACTGGTCGAGTTAGAGCCTATGGCGAACTGTCATCAGAATTGATTACCTCAAGTGATGTTCGTCAGGGCTGTCCACTTTCACCATTCTTGTTTAACTTTGTCATGGAGATGCTTTTAGAGATAACACTTTCATCATCTAAATCTTCAGGAGTTGAACTTTTACCGGGAGACTCACTTGTTGACTTAGGATACGCCGATGACATAGTTTTATTTGGTGAAGACTGACAAAATGCAGTCTTCTAACCACTGTAAGCAATTATGCAGGCATGTTCGGGATGCGATTCTCTCCCTCGAAGTGCA